ACCTAGGAGGTATGATGAAAAAGCCTAAAATTACTTCATGTTAACCAGATCTACCGGAATTCTTTTTTATCGTATTAAAGAAAGTTACAGTTCATAGAATAAAATAGGAAAAAATACGGAGATTTGAAATCTTTTCACTTTAACATGAATTTATTAAACAACTTCGTCTTTAACTTTAAATAAGTCTACCATACATAATATTTAGTTTGGTAAAAGTTAATACATAAAGTCAACCAGCTCTAACAGCCATCTGTCCAAGACAATCACTTGTACTTGTAAATGTCCATGCACTTCCCATTTTCAGTCTTTCAATTTTTAAAGTTTATATTAAATGGCAATGTTCAAAACGTCCACCTGTCTAAGATAACCTTTTTTTCTTCAAGACTGGTGGCCATCTTGGGAAATTTCAACTGCATATGCATATACATATATATGTAAGCTGCATGATACAATTATACATAATATATTAATATATATACGTAGAAGGCTATATGACAGAGATCTCTGACTGGGACATGATCACTCCAAGTAAAAGTACCAATTTCAGCCCCAACTGTACTTCACCAAAAAGTTACGTCTGCAGACTAAAAAAATAAAAACTTTAAAAACATTTGACAAAAATTCTAAAATAAGAACAAAGCATATTTCTAAAAAAAAGAAGAAAAAAGTCACACATGAAAACCAATACATGAAACTAGGCAATCCTCAAAAAAAGATCTTTTTTATTGGTCAGGAAGTGTATTAATTTATTTACCACAACTCAAGGAGAAGGAGATTTCATCAGATTGGTGATTGGTGGTGTGGCCCTGAAGCCCTGACGCTATAATATGTTCCTACAGACAGATTGTCACTGGTTATTTTGACTGACCTTGAAAAAGTCAAGGCAGTGACCAACAGTCAACAGTGTCACCACATTTAGGTCAGGCCTGCAGCTGCATCTACGCATGCTGTTATAATGTGTGTGGTACCAGACCAATCTAAGATAGCTGCGTAGACTGAACAAGTGGATTCTGTTTGCATCCACAGCCCCCTTATTTTTGCTACAGCTTGAGCTTAAGATGACTTGAGATCGAACTCACAATTCTTTGTGTGTGTGTGTGTGTGTGTGTGTGTGTGTGTGTGTGTGTGTGTGTGTGTGCATTCTCCCTTGTTTTAAGTGTTACTGCCATTCATTAACAAATTTATAATTCTTTTGAACCAATTCTCTTATATTCTCATCTTTTTATAGGCAAGTATGCATCATGTGTGTTTGGCTTTTCAGCTTAACGAATCCATTTTAATCGTAGTAACTCCATAATGAGGCAGGGTCACATTTTTAGAACTGCTAACACTGTTCCTTTTTACAGCCCATCTAACATCACTGATGATAGCCTTTTTTGGGGTAGTGTTTTACGGCGCTCGCAACTGCATAAGGCCATATGAGCGCGCAGGACACAGTAAGCATTTCCAGTTGGAAGGAAATTGTTTTATTTTGCTCTGGTAGCGGTAGCCTTTAATTTTTATCGATTTTGGACCACCAAGGGATCTTTAAAATTAACGTGCCGCAACTTGCACATATGCGACCTCCGAGATTTTTCGCCCTCATCTGAGAAGCTACGTGTAAGATCATATTATATACCTACACTAGGCTAAAGTTCAGGGGTGTGGCTGATAAGACAGCATTTAAGAGGGAGCAAAGGAGTAGCGGTAAAAATGGCTGCAGAGAGCCCAGAGGAGGTGGGCAAAGGAGGTGAGGAGGTGGGGGCAGAAAGTGGAGACAAAAGCCGATGACAGAACATATTGTCAGAGAGCAGGAAAGGAGGTGAACGAAGAAAATTTTAGAGAAGAAAATTTTCCGTCGCTGTCTGAAGCCTATTGAATGAGAAGCTATGACCGTAACCTCTCGACCACGAAAGCCCCTACTGATAGCAGCACCGTCATAGACTAAATCTTGATCTTTAACTATCATTACTATAGATCTAGAAATAGATCTTTCACACTGACGATCGACATGTTACTTTGTCATCAGTCTTAGTCTATCTATAGGTTTACACAAGTCAACACAAGAGAGTTTACTAGAAGAAAAATGACATCATTTTTTTTTTGGTCGTTTCTGTCGGAGGATTCATCAGGCTCAGGTGGGTGGGGTAGGCCTAGGCCTTGGTAATCTTCATAAACCCATCACTATGATCCCATTTCACTATGATCCGTGCCTATGGCTGCACTGTAATGTATGCACTGAGCACATAAAACAGATCCTAAAGAATTTAAAACTAATAAAACATAGTTTACATAGATATATCTAGAATCTAGATCTAGATATAGATCTAGGTCTAGTTACAACTGGCGATATTATACATTATATATATAGATTTAAACACTAAATATACACCTGGCATAATGTAGTCTGTAGGCTAGTAGGCCCCTATAATCCTATACTATAAAGCAAAATCAAAAGTATAAAAGTTGAGTCTAATATTGTAATGTAATAGATCTAAATGAAAGTTACACACGTGTGGTGAGGAGAGCGGAAGTACAGGTGGTGGTCGTCAATTCAAAAGCTCAGGATTTCATCCTGCTCCTGCCTCAATGGAGAAGAATCGCATCAGATATGGGCATTGTGTAACAATGATAACAAACGATAACAGCTAAGACGTGCACAAGCATCCAGTACACCGCATTATCAACTAGCCTTGTGACCCTCGGAATGTAAACAAGCGGTCACCTTTAACCCTTGAACCAAGCTCATAGATATATACTTAGAGAAGTTGTTACTATTAGTGAATCGGGGAACCCCAAAATGGTGCAAAACTTTCCACTGTGCTAGCAAATTGGCATACTAAGAGTTGTGCCAAAATGCAGCTAGGCCTAGTCTTTCATTCTGTTTCGTGGTACTATATATCTATCACACTGTTGTCTGTCGCAGTAAAACGAAAATCTAGCTCATTTATCAATTTACCAATGTGGGTATGTAACTTTGCAAAGCTTTCATGTCGGCCTGTGACCGAAACAAGTTATAGTCGTTTTTTTTCTTAAACGTTTCTTTATTTGGGCCCTTGTGTTAATATACCCCTCTTTTGTGCATGCACAGGATATATAGCTACAATAAATGATTTTCAGTAATCTAGCTAGGCTAGAAAAAAAAAATCCTTAAATTTGAGACAGCCAAGACCCGCTCAGCCCACATTTCAGT